AGAATGAACTTGAGTCTGATGTTTATCGCATCTCAGATGTTCTCCGCGGTTCAGACAGGATGGTCATTGCTGTTGGAAGGGGTAAAGGCTCCAAGGCCGGACACTCAGGCAAGGCCAACACTGAGTCTCTTCTTCGCGAGTGGGGAAGTCGAATGTGGACTTTTCCTGAGGTTCTTCTGAGCCCAGGCCGAACTATCTCGGTCTACACTCGTGATGGAAACCTCCAGTCCCCCTTGGTTGTCGCCAAAAACCAGTTTGCTGCCCTAGTTTGGACGTACATGGACTCTGAGATGGCTCGCCATCTGATTGATCATTATCTCGGCTCCATCAACCTGAGTCGTCTAGAGCAAGCTGTTCTGGCGCTCAAGTGTCTTTACAGCCGCCACACTACGGAGTATCTCCCTGGCGACCAGGCTTATGCCCTCATGGGTCTCTTGAGACTTCGACCTCAAGTTGACCGAACCGACACTGCCTTCCAGGCTTTCTCAAGACTGTCTTTGGCAAACGACTCTGACAGACTCCTCGAGAGATACATCTGCACTCTCCCCCGAGACAAGGATCAGCCATGGTACGACATGGAGGATGCCTATGAGTCATCTCTCTGGGACATCACTCCTTACTGTCAAGTAGCTGGTATCGCCGACAAAGATACCATCATTATCGACGGTGCATGGGGCATCTCCATCCGCTGGAAGACTTTCTACCCCGTGTACTGGTCTACTGGACCGTCCTGGAAGAGATACTTCGCAGCATTGGCAGTTGAGTGGAACGGGGTCTTCTTCGTCATTGCAATTGCACTCATCGCAAGTGGTGCATCCGCTAGCAGCTCTTCTGGTACTACCTCTAGCAGCCCCTATGGTTATTCCACCGGCGCCAGCGCTACTTCTGGAACTGCCTTGATCGCCCCTGGTGTCATTTTCTTCCTCTTGTTCGTCTGGATCTGGTTGATCACACCGAACCTGGTTCGAGTCATCTACGGTGGCAAGTTTGCTGATACTCAAGCCGAGATGTTTGGCTTTGAAGGACATCTCAATGCTCCCACTATTGAGAGGTCCATCTTTGGAGGTAACTTTGGTCGCTTCTCCTGGAGCACCAATGGAAGCCCCCTCAGCCGAAGTGTCATTAACGGTGATGGTGAGCGCGTGGGCATCGATCCTTACAAGGATCCTGAAGTGAGGATGAAGGTTGAGGCAGCCAAACAAGCTCGTCCAGGCGACATGAGGGTGAGTCACTTTATTTTCCGTGGCGTTTTGATTGTTGACTAACAATTTCAGATTTTCACTCTTGTAGATACGTACAACATGGAGTTGACCTTGTTCGAGGCTGTCAGGCCACCTGTCACTCTCATGTTCTGTGCTTCCGAGGGTGGCATGCAGCGAGCTATTGGTTGCTCTTATGAGTGGGAGACTCAGACTATGTATCGCGAAACTGTCCTCCGGATGCCCACAACAGCCTTGAACCGAATGGATCGTGTTCCTCGATTCCGCATGGGCATTCAACGACCTGTGTATCCTTCTGCTCCGTTGAACGGGGCTGTCTAAGTATTGTAATTGGCTCTCATGGAAATCTGGCTTGTATAATTGTTTTCTTCACTGTCATTTATCAAAGATCGATCATCACAGTTTATTTCTAATCTACTTTTCATTTCTTTGGATCCGCAAACTTTATATGATGTGAAGCAAAGCAAAGCAAAGCAAAGCAAAGCATAATTCGCCAGCCTTTATAAAGCCCCGCCCCTCTCTTAGAAGGCCATTGTCTACCTTACCTAGTTTCATCTTTTGAGGCCTGGCGAAGCAGGAAGTCCGGTTATATTCTTTGTACACAAACACAGTCGCGCCCATGATGAACCCATGACAACGAAGCTATCCAACCTGCAGGGTAGAGATGCCCAAGCAGGCTGTCCACTCAGTGGACTGTTTGCTCTACTGGGAACTGAGGCACATAATAATACATGTTATCATTGTGGTGAACGTCATTTGTTTCTTCCTCTTATTGCTCATCCTTACATTCAATGGAATCCACATCTTGTTCCTCGCCCTTTTTTCGCATGTTATTTACTGGAATGAGGTGTTGAGATCATTCACAGTATCGAGCATTGCCACCATAAGACGAGGTAGGAATACCTACAAGTCCAGATACACCTTCTCATAGGTAGCCCAGAAGTACTTTAGCAGATATTGGGCGCAACAGACCACAGCACACGGGTCGTACCTAGACATGAGCATCACCTTCGAGCCGCTCTTGCCACACGTCTTCCAACTTCCCAACTCACAATACAGGAAGTAATCAGCAATGTTGTGGCTGACAAGATTAGTGCCTTAAGGAATACAACTACCTGCGCTAAGGTATCTAGGTAGGTATCAAGGTAGGAAGTTCCTGTTCCAAACAAACCCCGGTTCAGTTTATGGGTAAAAGGCACACTCTCACGATAATTGAAGTGCACTAAAATTTTGTTCTCGTTTTCTTAGTGCTTTGGGCTGCTCATTGCAAATCCTGATGTCCTTATAACGATGTTAACTGCATGGGTATCTTCAAGGTAGCAGGTAGGTAACGCTTGTGATAATATCAATATGGCACTGTCTTCTGCCTAGGTACCTTAGGTAGGTACCTACCTACCTAAGTTGGAGGAGGAGGCCCATTGCTTTATGAGCCGAGTTCCATGATATTGGGAACTCCTGCACTATGGAAGTAAGAGCAGCTGATAATGTGAATATCGCTCTTTTTTGGAAATGATCATGATGTATGTAGGTGTGACCTTCCCTAGGTACCATATATTACATTCTTTGGAAACAATACCTTACGCTTGAAGAAAGATCCCTTGTCGATTAAAGCTGTCGGGCAGTGCCACGTCTATAGCTACCTCTTTATCCGAGTTGCGTAAGGTAGTTACACACCTGAGTAGGGTAGTTTCCTTACGTTACCTGCCTAGGTACCTTCGGTAGGTAGATGCAAGAGGTTCGGTGCTTTCAGGTGCCGTAATCTACTAAGGTAATATCCATGAATAGAACCTTCCATTGGGAGTATCGCGTATCGCTGGTACTCAAGCACAATCGTTGTGTTTTCCAGAGAGCCGTGATTCAGTAGGTAGGTTTTCAGAGAAATCTTTTCCCAAGATTGGCGCCACGAATAAACAATATCTCTCATTATTTGCGCTTCCATTCGCTGCATTTATTCATGTATTTAGTCTTTACAGAGGAATATTATATCTTGTAAGAGCACTACCTAGAGCGCCAGAGCGGTGACTTCCATATTGTAAGGTTTCTAATCCCCCCATAAATGCAAGACCCCATTTAACCATACATAGGCACCTCAAGGTTTATTTACTCCTCTCCCCCCTCCCCCTCGTCCTTCTTCTTCTTCTTCTCCATGTCCCAGGAAAGCGGGTAGTTTGTCGAACTACTAAGTTACCACGGACTCAGTTGCGCCTATGATGAGACCACGGGACCTTAGTGAAGCTTTCCTATCCTCGGATAGATTCACAAAACAGAGGGATCACATCCTGCCCGCTTGTGTGGTCACTGAGGCACGAATAATTTGGTCAATTCTTACCTTGTAGTTTCTTCTTAATCCCAGTCCCCACTACGTCGTTTTGCAAATGCCTTCTGCCCTTTCATGCCTAGCACAGTACCCATCTTGGTTCAGTAGATCAAGAGGGATCCGGATAAACTCAGGTGAAGTCACAGTATTGTTCATATGTCGCTAGCGCTGGGTATTGTTGTGATGACGGATCAGAATCGTGGAAATTCCTAAGAGAGGTACAGGATGGTCAGCTTGTGCTGAGTGGGCGGCACGGTCGCTTGCAATATCTCATCGTTGGGCTCTGAACCCTCAGTATGATCATCGTCTGCATCATCACCCACCTTCAACTGAGAGTCGTAGTTCAGTGTAATATCTACAACACTGCAAATCATCTCACAAAGTCGCTCGGAAGCGAGGATCCTAGGCAGGTGCATTCGTGAAGCCAGCGAGCGAGAAAGCAGCTCGGGGCCGACCGAAAGAGCGGAAGTGCTCAAACTCATTGGTACTGTAGAGTAACGAGACCTGTTCGCAACGGAACAGCCGAGAATTTGAGGGAACATATGAAGATACTGAGAGGAAAGGGGGAAGCCATGGAGAAGGGAGAATGAGATAACCCTTGCCTCTTGATTATTTCACGTCCCGTGCGAGAGTCGCTTCAGAGAGGCCTACTGTGACAGATCATATCGAGTGAATGAATAGCCATACCAACTATACCATGCTACGGATTAGCTCTCGTTGCTTTTTGGGCTCTGAGGAACTTCACTGCCTGGCTCACTTACAGTTTCGTCTCCGAAAACATAATTTTTATGTGTACATATAACCACCAAGCGCCTCACACTTTGTTGGTTCCCTTTTCTCGAGCGGGCAATTATTTATCACCATTACCACGATCATAGTTGCGCCAATGATGAACCCATAGAATGCATTCAGCAGGATGACACCAAAATCTCCAAAACTGCCCGCTCCTAGATGGCAGGATGGGTACTGATATCCGTATTTGACTTTTCCATTTTGCATGTGAGCAAGTGGCTTGTATGTATGTTCAAAGGATTCCGAGGTCGCAACGTAAACAAGTCAGGCAACAACAAAGCTCAAGTGAACTAGCATTCTATGTGCTTATAATATTTTAAGGTCTCTTTTCTCTTCGCCTTTTTATACCATTTGTATGAGATGGCTGTGTCTCTCTTTTGGGGATAGACACATACACTAAAACGTAACACCAAAACGATAGCAATGAAGCACAGCAGAGTAACAAATTAGAGACATATCATGTAGCCTCTTCACTAAATAGAGTTTTAAAATAATATGGAACGTTCAAGACCGACTCCAGGGCTCCTCTGTGGTGTACATACGTAGGTACCTTGTACCTACGAAGCTCTTATCGATAAGGGGCGGGGCACCCCGTCTGCCTGGAACCAGCGTCAACTTGCTGTGTCTCACACTCTACCTGCGCACCTTATCAAACATTCGGAGTCTTCACGATGGAGGCATCTGCTTTGAAGGCTTGGGGTATGTCTCACTGTCGAAGTATGAATAACTTTGTAGCTAACATATGTGCCAGAGTTGGACAACAATGTCCAGCTAGTCGATCCCAAACGCGACGCTCTCTACAACTTCGACGCCGAGGCTCAGAAGGCCATAAACAGCGAGAAGGCATGGAAACAAACACCAGAATACTTCAAGCATGTACGAATAAGCGCTACTGCTCTCATAAAAATGACTATGCACGCGCGATCCGGCGGCAACCTCGAGGTCATGGGTTTGATGCAAGGCTACACCCACCAGGATACATTTATCGTCACCGACGCATTCCGACTGCCCGTTGAAGGAACAGAGACTCGTGTCAACGCCCAAGGCGAAGCGAACGAATACCTTGTCGAGTATCTCGATCTATGTCGAGCGCAGGGCCGACAGGAGAACGTGGTGGGCTGGTATCACAGTCACCCAGGCTACGGATGCTGGCTGAGCGGTATCGATGTTGATACTGAGGCCATGCAGCAGAAGTGGCAGGATCCATTCCTTGCCGTCGTTATCGACCCCGATCGTACTATCAACTCAGGCAAGGTCGACATCGGCGCTTTCAGAACCTACCCGGAGGACCACCAGCCCGGTAATGGCACAGCCAGCTCTGATGGCTTCCAAGCAGTGCCGCTTGCCAAGGCCGCAGAGTTTGGCGCCCATGCCAGCCGCTACTACAGTCTCGAAGTGTCTCATTTCAAGAGCTCTCTCGACTCGCATCTCCTCGAGCTCCTCTGGCACAAGTACTGGGTACAGACTCTTAGCCAGAACCCACTGATCACGAACCGCGACTATGGCAACAAACAGATGCTCGATCTGAGCTCCAAGATCAAGGAAGCGACAACAGGCATCGCGAGAAGCCGAAATGGACAAGGCATGATGGGTACGGGCCAAAAGAGCTCCGACAAGGCAGTGGACAAGCTGGCAAAGGAAGCCAGCCTCATTGCATCTAAGGAGAGGTCTGGCCTGGTTGCTAATCAGGTCAAGGCTAGCGTTTTCAATGACCTCGGATCAAAGGCTGAAGAACCAACACCGTGAAAAGGAATGACATTGGGATTATGGGAATGCATGTAGCATAACGAAACGGCATAGATGGCGTTCAGAGGTGAAATCAGCAATCTTTACTTTTATCTGCGCTTAGGGTCTCAAGAGTGCATTCATCCTCCGTATTGCACCAGTATGGAAGCCAGGTATTTGATCTTTCAAATGGCCTTGAGAAGGGGGTTCCGATGGCATAACTACTTCTTAGAAGTGAGTAGATTACGATTAAATCTCGGGCTATCCTCACCTGGCCAGTTAATAATCTGTCTAGTCTGCCCAATTGACGATTCACCAATTAATTATTTTCGCTTCATCCAGAAACAGATGTAGGTGAGGTGGGCAAAAGAAGTGGGTGGAGAGAGGATCGCCGACCTTATGAACAAGCGTAAAACGCGACAGCACAAAGAGCTGAGCTATTAACTGATTACTTATATTCTTATGCACATGATGATGAGAATGTGTAACGTGAACGACCATGAAAAATCCCTTCATTGGATTGGGTTAGTAGCTTGATATCAGTTGGTGTTGGTATTGGTGTTATGTTCAGCTTTTACGAACAGAGATTCTTGCATTATACGGTACATTTGGAACTATGGTTAAGTCATTCAATTAGACAAGACTAGAGATAAAGAGACATTTCACGCATTTCCCGACCATTACGACTACAAACAAAGCCCTGCTAGCCAGAGCATGTCGCGAAATCGACACCACGTCTGCTTGGCAACAAGAATTACCCTAGAGATCGATGGTTCATCTGAACGGGATGCCTCCCTCAAAACATACTACGGACAGGAACACAATGAGACACTGCATTATAGATGATACTTTTTGTCCCTGTAGCAGATGGAAGCTTGCATAGCCTGTAGCCATGTGCCGCGTCCAGCCATCGGCAGTGTTACCCATGGCAGTTCAAAAAGACGGAGATGATGAGACTCCAGGAATCTAGATGCTACGCTTGTGCAACTGAGCACGTTGTGGCTCGAGCTTGACTGGGCAACGATCGCCTAAGAGCCGAGCACACGACAACCAGAGAGGAAAATCGATGCGTGGTGATTTAGGCCGAGGAGATCAATCGGGATTATGTAGGATAAGATTAAAACTCAAAGAGTCATTTCCTTCTATTTGTCGGTCCTTTTTTCTGTCAAGAAACACGAGGAGTAAATTGAAGCAGCTGAAAGGAGACGCTGCTTGTGTGGACAGAATGTGATGGGAGGGATGCATTGATGCGTTCAGTGGCTCAAAGCTAAACCTGACTGACGAAACACGGCCAAGACGTCAGTCACCCTTGAGGTGGTCACAGCTCGGTACGAAACTCATCGGATCGACGTCTCAGTCTCTCCCACTCATCACATGCTGTGGTTGTGGTTGTTTTACGCGGGAATTGCCTCGACAGCGCTGATGCACTGTTAATGTGACTGAAGAGAAGAGCTTGGAGTCGGCGAGCTGTTGGATATGCCGTATCCAAATGCCAGATTCGATGCAATCCTTGCCGTAGCTTTACACCATCTTCTTTTCGAAATTTTCCTAATTCATGGCATGCTAATGCCGATTTTGGTTTGTGATGAAACCCTAGCAGACCTGACGTCGGTTCTCTTTTTTCTTGGGAGCTCAAGCTAGGATGTGACGTCATGAAGCGCTCACTTTAACGTTGAGCTAACGAAAGCTTTGACACAATCGCGGCATTGGCCACGATCAAGATCAGCCCACGCGGCCAGTTAATTAACCTGGAGATTAGTCGAACCTACCAACACCAGTCTCGTACAGCAGCCGTAGAGAATTAGGAAATGAAGGGGAAAATCAGGGCCGCGATATGTCGACTACAATCAACAAAACGTCAAATTAGGCCATTACGTGTCATTGGATCTGGCAATTGAGCTATGACGACTTGCAGCTCATGAGCTGGGGTTTTACCTATGAGGCCATCATGTTAAGTCAGTGGAGAACGTGGGGAGCGAGCTAAACAATCAACAGCTCCTCCAGCTCCATCTGGCCAGCTTTAAATTTCATCATTCCAGCCAAGAATGGGCATCCTTGTTTTTTGAGTTGACGGGCAGGAGAGATATCGGAACCTCGGAGGCTCAATTGGCATCCTTGTCGATGATTCCTTCAGCATCAGCTCTGCAAGGTGGGAATTACCTTTATCATGGGGTGGGCGCAGGCCTAGCAGGGCAGATCATCGACGGAATCCACATTGGCGATCCGGAGAGGACCTCGGGAATAAGAAGATATCAAAATTTGAAGATACAACGTCAGAGTCAAATGCCAAAGTCAATGCCAATACCATGTCACTCTCATCGATTCAGTAACAGCACGCAAAACACAAGAATTCAGGAAGACAAGACGTACAGAGTCAGACCTGCACCACCGGCCAATCCTTGGCAGAGCAAGCAGATGAAAGAGAAAAAATGCACCTTGCATTTGACTAGACTGGTGCCCGTAGTGCTGTCTTACCAGGCTTTGATTCAGCGAACCAGCCAGGGGTCTGTGAGACATGTCGCAACATTTGATGGGTTTGCCTGGGGCAACCTTCCTTATGGGCCCATTATCTAGACAGTGAATGCATAAATAATATCATCAGCATCGAATAATAAGCCGTGGCTTGCGATTATCAACGGCTGTCATCTTGTTGCTGGTCAAGAGGTCTAGATCGTCGTCGAGGTAGCATCCCGAAGGGTATAAACATCGAGGCTTGACCGTCTCCCCTGACGCTTCGAAACGCCTCTAATTGGGGATCAAACAGCATCATCATCGCAATGCGAAAGAGTCTAGATCTCACCCTTGTTATCTTCAGCTGCTGCCCTGTTACATTTTCCCTTCCCTTTTTTCCGCTTGTTTGCAGCTCGATCATATGCTCGACCCCTGCTCAAGTTGGTAGGGTACCTTGCTTGGCCGTAGGGTTCGCTCCGGATTTCAGTGTCATAGCCAAGCAGGGGGGTAGCCGAAATCAGTGATTCAATGAATGTATGCCGATGCCAGTGCCCAGAGAGAGTGCCTTGTTCAGAAACGATAGCGCATCGAGGTGCCTGTATTGTAAAATTGGTCTGTGGCCTGGCCAGTAGCGTGCGTTGGCGCTGGGCCTGGTCAACACAGTGGAGGGCATCTTTTATGAATCGACCGATGACGTCCTCGATCAACATCGTCGCCCTTAGCAAACGTCAACGTCACTGACCACACTACACTCCCTTTCTCGAGCCCAGCCCAGCCAAGAACAAGCCAACCACTGCCCGGATCCAGCCATTACCGTGTAACTCTCGTACCTGCTTGTCACGGGCAGTCTCCCTTAGAAAAGTATATCTAATCCTGTCTCTCTCCTGCCTCGTACCAAGTTCTTTCTCTATTTCATACCCCGTCCAATACCAATTCCTACCTAATACAATACCCAACTGCTTTGTGATACCCATCCCTTACCAGAGGATACCAAACAACAGCTTCTTCATTTGTTACCTACGTCTACGCTACGCTTCGCAACGCAACGCTTCCTGCCCCTCTCATAATAAGATCGACTTCTGCTTCGTCTCTTATCCACTACATCATCGTCACCTCAACTCAACTCTAAAAAAGAGTTACCGTTTTAACATCTTTTAACGTCATACTTTCCGGTGGCATAACGACTTAATAACGAGATACCCCATACACTTTTGCCCATCATGCCCGGTGCCCCAGACGTCAACAAACCTACAGACATCAAGACAAAGGAGGCCGATGTCAACCGAAAGCTCCAAGTCTACGGTATCATTTCTGCCTTCCAGAATGGCAAGGTTCCCTCAGTGAGTATCTCTTCGCGATTCTGTTCTTCCTCACATCCTAACGCGTTCTCTTCCAGAACGACCAAATCGATGTCGCTCTAAGCAGTTTCCTCGCCTCTCGCGCCCTCTCTGGTCGCCATGAGAAGCTCTCCACCGAGGGTCAAGAGCTCGTCAAGGATGCTGCCAACGCCATTAAGCAAGCCAAGCACCTCCTTCTCTCCAAGAACGAGGGCAACCTGATTCAGGATTTCATCTGGCAGACCACTCAGTTCGACCCCAAGAGTGTCAACACACCCAATGCCCCTATCAGCAAGGACGCTGCCAAGCAGGATGGTGACCAAGCTCTTGAGGGTCTGAGAACCCTTGGCCAGCTTCTCATCACCAACGGACAGTTCCGAAAGCTTCTTTCTGATGCTACGGTTCTCTTCCGCGATATGGCTGGCGATGCTGCTACCAACGCCGCTGCCCGTGTCCGCCCCTCTCAGGAACAGCTCCGACAGATTGACGAGCCTGCTCAGGACAATGTCTGGCATGAGGCTCCCGACTTTTCCAAGGACAACCTGAAGCAGCAGGCCAAGGGCTTCTACAGTGGAAACCCCAAGGAGGATGCTAAGGACGTCGCTTCCGCTGGTATCAATGCTGCCGCTCCCGGGCAGCTCCAGCAAAACCAACAGTCCAATGCCCAGCAGGGTACTTACCCTCAGGTCACCACCGGTACCGAGACTGGCAATGTGCCTGCTACAACCGACGCTGCTCGTGACGCCGCTCGCCAGACCGACCCCCAGGCTGGTAAGAGTGCCGCTAAGCAGGCTGCTGAGGCCAAGCTCGACAACAAGATCGATCCTGAGACCAAGGAGAACATCCTGCAGCGCAACGAGGAGTACCGCCGCAAGGCCCGCAACTACTTCGACAAGAAGATGCCTCAGGAGCGTAAGGACCAGACCATCTGGCGTCTCAAGAAGATGATTCTGGAATGCCAGCAGCACGAGGACTACTCTCAGGCCATTCAGACCCTTCTTCGCCTGGCTGAGAATTACAGCCGCCACGGCCGCACTCTTGGCCAGGGCTCTACCGATACCGCTAAGGACGCACGCGGTGGCCTTGCTGCCGCCGAGCGTGACCTCCGCACTATCATTGAGCGATTCGCCAACGGTACCTCCACTGAGGATCTTTGGGAGGCCATTGGCCAGATTTACCGCGACGCTGATAACGACCGTGAGCTCAAGGACTGGTTCAAGGCTATGGATTCCTACATCCGCCGATGCCTCCTCCAGCAGGGTTACATCCTCGAGGATGAGTCCACTCGTGAGTGGGATCAGCTCTACGACCAGGGACGATACCTTCTTCGCAACAAATACCGCGGTCACACCGACCGTGTTGTCGATGAGATCAAGTTCCTTGCCGACCAGTTCGACCAGGATCCTCAGAACCACGCCTTTGCCGAGTCTCTCCAGAAGCTGTTCAAGGACCTTGGCAACGACCAGGATGGCAAGCCTGTCTTCAAGCCTCATCTGCTCAAAGACTTGAGGGATGTCATTATCCCTGCCGCTCTTGAGAACATTGCCTACATCCCAATTCCCCGAATTGAGTACACCGACTCCCAGGTTGATGCCATCATCGAGAACCTAGTCCTCGAGAGTGACAACTTTGCCCCTAACATCTTTGAGGTCTCCAGCGAGCACTACTTCCGATGGGGTCGCAAGAAGATCGCCAACAAGAGCCACCAGACCGTTGAGGTCAAGGTTGCTGGCATCCAGATGGATCTTCGTGATGTGAGCTTCCACATCAAGCGCAAGCAAGGCTTCCCTACCATCACCGATACTGGTGTTGCTGACATCATCCTCCCTGGTGATGGCTTCTCCTTCAAGATGAAGGTGTCTACCGCCGACAAGAAGGACCGTCAGAACTACTTCAAGGTTGAGAAGGTCGATGTTGACTTCAACAAGCTCCAAATCAAGGTCAAGAAGTCGAACCATAAGCTGCTCTTCTCCTTGTTTAAGCCTTTCATGCTCAAGGTCATTCGTCCTCCTCTGCAGAAGGCTGTTGAGAAGGCTATCAAGGACCAGTGCAACAAGTTTGACCAGCTGCTGTTCCAAGTGAAGCAGGAGGCCGAACGTGCTGCTGCTGAGGCCAAGAGCAACCCCGAGAACGCTCCCAACATCTACAACCGTTACTACACTGCTGCCCAGCAACAGTTCACCAAGGGCAAGAAGAAGGCTGAGGCAGCTGCTTCTGACAAGAAGGCTAACATTGCCATGACCAAGGAGGACAGCATCTTCCCCAACATCAACCTCCCTGGTGGCATCAGCACCAAGGCTACCGAGTACAAGGAGCTTGCCCGCAAGGGTGACAAGTGGGAGAGCCCTGTCTTCTCCATCGGCTCCGCCAAGAAGAGCACTGACATCCCTTCTGCTCCCAAGATTCAGCGCAAGGCCCACCCCGTGTCAGATCTTGGATCTAAGAACACTTCCAACGCTGACTACGACTTCTACCCTGCTGGAGGTAACACTCACACTGGTAATGGTGCGTTGAACGGTGCCGTTAATGGCAAGCACCCTGCTGGTTTCACCAATGGTCAGACTGGTCTGCCCACTAGCCAGGCCCCTCTCACCACTGGCCAGATCAACCCCGTTTAAATTCAATGTAACGGACATGCCAATTAGGCTTAGCAAAAGTAATAGCGGAGGATTGTTGATGTTATACCCATGCTCACGTACTTGAGTTGCCTTTATTCTCTTTGTTCTTGATACCACACTGGAAGCAATGACGATGGGTGGATAAAGCACGATGCGAGAATTGTGCTTGGCTAGGGAAAACTACAGGTTTATTAATCAGTGATGTGACGGCCGTTTCCTTTGTTACGAGGGTATACACGATTGGTTGATAGTTGAAATTGACTGCACTACCTTTAATTCTGTTCCATTGTGAAATGATGTCGTGATACGCAGCGTAGAACGGTTTCGATGGTCGAGCAAATCAAAAAGCTTTCCCCCTAAGATATGTTGGTCGGCCGTATAGTCTATGCGATGAAAGATCTAGTGGTTGAACAAGATGTAAAGAATGATGTAAATATGAAGCCGTAATCAAACGTCAACGATGATAGTGGGGGGTTGTACAGAAACGGCTTAGCGAGTACAGCCTCAAGACTACGTCACCACACCATGAAGGTATGGCACTCCATGATTCTTGCCCTTTGAGGCCTCATTCACTTGTTCATTGATCTAAAGTTTAACAATAAATCCTCCACTAAAAGTCTGTGGATCTTTCTCACAACATAAACTATATCCACTGAGACCACTGGAGCATCCCATCACATCCGTCAAAAGCCGCTGAAAAAATAACATCTCACACGTCTATTAATCAAGACTCATCTCCCTTCCTGTCTACGCCGTACGCCCTCGATGTGACATGAGTTATCATGACGTCTACAAATCTCGCACCTGAGCAGGTGCATGCCTTGTTTGATATACTCACGCACCACGAAACATACGCAGAGATACAGAGTTTCAAGTATCCAAATGCAGTCACAGGCTATGGCTATCCTTTCTCAGGAACAACGGTTGAACCTCAGACTACACAAAGCGCACCCCCAAGCACAGGATGGAGAAGCTGGGCTGGAACACCTGTGAGCTCAAGACCAGGAACGCCAAAGCAAGGAGCTGCGAAAGATCTCAAGGAAACTCCTGGCGATGATGATGATAAGAAACCTTCTTCATCGCCTATTCTTCATACCATGTTAACGCGGTTCATCCTAAAACTTCCGGGTGTGCGAGATCTACCACGCGAGTTTTGGTCTGTTAGAGTACAAGGTCTGTTGACGAGACTCGGAGAGGCAGAACTTTCAGAGAGCTATGATAAGGGTGCTTTGGGGACGAGAAAAGTGCTTGCGACTGGGTCGAGTGGACTCCTTGAAATGGTTGGTCGAGGAGTTCTTGGTGGTGTCAAGAAAACAAATCGACCGGACAAGTCTTGGGATAAGAAGGTTGAGTATGATCGGACCAAGGCTGCAGACCTGGTAAAGGCGTGGGATGATGTTGTTGAGGGCTTGGTTTATGGAGGTTTGGCAGATGAGATGTTTGATCATTTCAGCAAAACTTCGGATCTTGAGAGTCACTCTCCAGTTATTGGAGCAGCAGCTGAATATGCCATCATCCAGTGAGTTCCATATGAGACATTCTCTACCACCTCCCACTAACAAACCGAAAGCCTCGCTACCTTCATCCACCACATCTTTGTCCTCTCTCCAGAAGGCCAATATCTTCTCAAACTCCTCGAAAACGTCCACAACCTCATCCCCTACAAGATGGTCAAGCAGACTTTACGGATGGGCAATGCCGCTAGTATGATTAGCGCCATGATGCGCCTACTCCTTGCAAAGTTGAGCGTTACGAGCGTCACCAACTGGATCGGCTTGACCGCCAATGCCGACGATGGCATGAACCTCTTGCAGCGGATTATTTCACTAGTTTTGTCGTGGGATGCTGGAGAGTTTCGAAAGAGCGCCGACAAGGTTGAGAGAGCTAAGGATCGACCGAGTGATGAGATGCTCGAGGCTATTCGTCAGTATATTGCTATGAGTCGCGATGAGCATAAGACCGTTCGCCATGCTAGCGAGGAACATGCTCAGTCAATTATCACCGCTATTTTTAACGGATCCAATCCCACGTTAGCAACTCAGCTTGATGATCAGAAGCATGCGCAGTGTCTCGAGTATTATTCTGCTCTTCTCTCCGTGCGCGATCGTGAAAGCATCACAACAGCCTTCTGTCGCCAGCCTCCTGATCTCTTTACCGCGACTATCAAGGATCTATTTGCCGCCTATGAACCTATGATCCGCATGGTACACTCCCAGATCGATTTGCGGGAGCATGTCGAAGCGGGTCAACTGTTCATCGATGAGTTTATCAAGGCTGGCAAGGCAAGGAAGGATGGTAGCATGCCAACTGTGGACGATTACGTTGGTCTTTTCATGAGAAACCGAGAACTCATGTATAGATGGGTTCATGCGTTTGCGGCATCATGTCCTGATGTTTGGGACGAGATGAAGAAGTGGACCAACGATGCCGTACTAAAGTTTCGCCAGGAAAGAAAGCCTGTACAAAGGACGAGCAATGCCGAGGCTGGAGAGCAGGCGATCAATGGTGCTTCTGATGTGAGTATTATGGACGACCAACTGAATAAGCTATTTCTGTCTGTTCCGGAGAAGTCTCAAAAGGATGTTCTCATTTCATTGGATAACCACGCCGCATACCTTGCTCAAGTTGAGGCCCTTTCTCTCTGCCGCCTACAGCGCATCATCGACTCAGACGATTCAGAATCAGGCAACATGTCAGGCCCAGGCATGTATCTTTCTCGATGGCAGAGTCTAATAGAAGACACGGCTATAACGCCAGAAAAGCCAAAAGGGCCCGTCAGACATGGAAAAGATGTCAAGAATGCTCTGACAATGGGCAAGATTGGAGTTGAAGGCACAGAAAAGGCGAGAGAGGAAGCCCTTCAAGCTGCAATTGAAGAAGCTGAAGAGGGACCTGAAGCTCCTGATGTAGATGTGGTGATCAAAGAGCTGGCTGATGGGTTCAAGAAGATGTTACAGGAGAGCGCTGGGAAGGATATGAAGTAATACGGGCGAAAGTGATACACAAGCGAAAGTCTCATGAATGATAGAAGGAACGAATACACATGGATACAAGGTAAACAGTTGATAGCAATTTTTACCAAAACTAAGATAATGCCGTGAAATCATGAACTTGATGATACACCGATCCCGTGATCTTCTGACAAATGTTTCCCCTTTCGTGATAGATCCATGCAGTATCCTCTCGTTTCGCGTTTTGAGAAGTAGAGTAGATTTTTGATCTCACACAGACATTGTTGGCTTCAGCCATCCAAAAACTTGCGGCGCCTTGACAGAATTTCTGTGTCTATAACAGCACTCAGATAGTTGCCGTATGCTTCGTCCTTCAGGGATTCTCGTAGAACACCTCTTGATCAGTTATTGACATTGAATTAGCGAATAGAGCGACGTTGCGAAGTGGCATTAGCCAAAGATCTTCCTTGAGGAGCTTCAGTTGAATGGCGTTGCAATGGTCCCAAATTGTATCGTCGTGGTGAGCGGTCTCTGACTGACTGTGCCCTGCGTTTGGGAGAAGCACTCCTCACTCTAGAGCCATTCTTATCGCGTGGTCCACGAAACAGCTTTTTCTGCGCACGAGGAAAAGCATGTCTTTGCCGCTGTCGCTCGTCACCCTCGAGGAAGTCTGGCGGTGCTTCTATAACCGGCGTTGCTGGTAGGGGCTTGCTAACTTTTGCAGCATCGAGAGACTTCTTGGCGTTGACTCTGACACTGGCAAACTCGACGATAGCTGATCTGGCACCTTCTGGGCAGTCTTCCATCTGGCCTACTCTATAAGCGAGACCATCCAGATAATCATCGATCTCTTGATTCCATGAAATCGGCGATGTCGATCGAATGTGGGTAAGGTCAATCTTGTCAACCTCTTCTTTGGCACCCTCGTCGTCTGATATGACTTCTATATCAGAATCATCAGGCAGAATATCGCCAAAGTCGTAGTCCTGAGGCTCAAACTCCTGTGCTCGTGGAGGCTGGCCAGGTTTTAGTTTTCGAAGGATGTATTTCTTCATCACGAGGCGAGGCTTCCATACAAGCCGGATGGTAACCCCAGTGGCATCTTGCAATTTCTGCACAAGAGACATGCAGGGTTTGCAATACTTTCGGGAGAAATACACTTCGAGAACTGGACGAGATCCATCTTCCCAGCGAGCCTGTCGAAGTTGGTTCAGTTGCTTCATGGTGACATTGTTAAAGTCCTTTGTGATCTCGAAAGTCTGCAGAAGAACGCAAATACCATGAACTGCGAGTTTGACTTCAACGTGAGACCCGCGAAAGATACCCTCAGTGTTTCCCGCTCTTCGGCCAGGGTTGTCAAACACTGTTCTCATGTTCATACCAAGGGTCTTACCCATGGACACGACTCGCCTAGTCCAAATACTATTTGGAAGAATGCCTTTCTTCTTGTCCAATACATCGCCGTATTTTCCAAGACCATGACCTGATTCAGCTGCCGCTAAGACAACACGCTGAGATTTTGCAGACACAATGCAAAGGAACCCTGTGGTTTTGTTTTCGAGTTGCGCTTCAATCTGGGATCTGCTGATGACTGACTTTGCTCGACGATGGCTGAAGACGAAGGAGATATTGGCCCCGAGAACTTGAACTGTAAGCTTTGTTGTTTCAGGGTCAATGATATGGTGGAAGTATATAAGGGGTGATGGGCTGCTGATAGCAGACACAAAGACTGGAAGAACCTCTTCAACTTCCTCCGAGCTCGACACTTCTGATTGCGGTGTGTTCATTTTGGAATTTTGTAAAGGGGTGTTGTGCCTGCGAGGGAAAGGCGTATGAGTTTCGTGAAGGAGTTGAGGACTTGGGGTTGAAGTTGTAACACACTTACAGATCACTCCACTCGAGAAGCAGATTTTAGTGAAGAGAGTGTAAGGTAAAATGCATCGTGATTCAGGGATGCTTAAATGAACGTGGATAAATGTGAGGACTCGGTTTGCACAAGTTGTGCTCTCCAGAGGAACTCGCACAACTCTTCAAAGCCGGGCCATAACTGACAATATGAGAGTTTTCTTAGAGATCGATTAGAGAGAACCAGTCCTAAGTCGTAAATTGTAATTCGTAACTCGTAACACGTGCAGATGGAGTTGCAAACAAAAAGGCTGGCCGTTTTTATAGAAATCAAGTCAAGAAGCTCGTGATAGCCTCACCTTGCGAGGGCGGAGATGAGACCAACACTCGAAACCAGGCAAGATCTCATGAGATGCTCAAGATGAAAGGAGATCACGAGAAGAGAAAAGGGGAAAGGGCATGCAAAGATTTGCCTTGCCTTGACCCTATCTCCAGGAGGTGGTGGTTCAAAAGTGATCAAGGAGAGAGATCATAAGGAGAAGAGACGATAAAGAGGGGTAAAGGAAATTCTTTCACCACGTTGCGACCATGAAACACAAGGCACATTCAAGATGCACATTCACAAGAGCAGATCGACCATAAAATGAACGACAAGTTGGACGGGTCCAATTTGACCAAACCGAATGACCCAGTGTCGGGGGAATCTCATTCATACATGACAAAATCTATGACCCAACGCCCAATTCCATTGCCATTGCTACCTTTGACTTTGACCGGAAACCGCCAGTTTTTTGTTTACTCGTCATCCTCCTCCTCCTCGGCCTCAGCAGTGGTCTGGGCAATTCGGTCCAAATCACGCTGTCCGGCCTGGGTGATGCGGCGGCCACCCTTGTCCTCATCCTGCTCAAGGACACCGATCTTCTCAAGAGCCTGCATGACCTTTCGGTCGACGGAGCCGGAGGCATCGACGTGCTTGGAGGGACGGCTGCCACGGTTCTTGGCAGTGCCGTGGACCTTGCGGAGACGGCCAACACCGACGGTCTTGCGGAGGTAGACGTGGCGGGCGATGGAGGCGGCACGGACGTAGAACCAGTCAATGTCCTGGGGAGGGAGCTCCTTGGCAGGACCAGTCTTGACGGTATCGACCCAACCTGAGAAGTCAGATTTGATGGCTATGTAGAGTTTTCAGGATGTCTTACCGGGGATGGGAAGCTTGCCCTGACGCTTCAAGAAAGCAGAGTAGGCAGTGATGAACTTCTGCGCCTGCAGTCACAAAACCCATTAGCATGATTCCGTCGTCAGAAGTCTTTCGACTCCCTCGCGCCTGCTCCTCAATCCCATTTGTACCCAGCCCTTTGAACACAGCAGCCGACACAGCGTTTCAATTATTATTCAGTATATATAATCATCGCGCCGCGTCAGCGCCATGGCGGGCAAGCGGTTCTCTTGGAAGATTGCGTCGCCAAGTCGTCGAGTAGAGATCGTGTGATATTTTCGGAGTGTATTTCGTTTCCTGTGATGGGTTTTTGTTTAGGGAGTACCTACATCGACATCGCGAACGGTAACTCCGCCGGCCATTTTTGCGGTATTGTTGGGGTTGGGTGGGTGAAAGGGAGTTTGGTCGTTGGGTGTGGTTGTCGAAGCGTCGCGATAGTTGAGCTCGAAGTTCTCACTTTGCTAGAATCGTGATCGAAATCTCAACAATGATCGCTTAATCTGGTCCAACCCTATTTTGCAAGCGCACAAGGGTTTTTCTCAAATATTTGCGTTTGATTGGCGGGCCCCATAATTTTCATGTCCAGTGTAGCGTACAGTGCCTGGGCATCTACACTGTGACAGAGTGGAGATCCTATTGTTGAATATCACCACTGAGGTTGAACCAATGTCCAAATTAGGCACATATTCATGTAAGTGATTGGGTCCTGATCATCTGTTGCATCTGTGTAACTATTCACTCCCACGTGGTTTCATGTCGTTACCTTTACTTCGTCTACGTCACTTGTAGTTCACATGCTTCAACAAGGCAAACACAAGGATATTCACCATTCACGGCTTCAAGCGTTGAGAGAAAAAGGCTCAATTTCCTAGCCATAACTAATAGTAACAGGGTCGAAGAAGGGGACCAGGTATCAAATCTATCCGTCTAACGCAATGCCAAATGAGCTCATTATGACCCGACCTTATTCAGGTATACACCTCGAGAATATCCATTTAAACCACCTTCTTCCACACGAATCTCCATTAAGCCCACTTGGCAAGAATAGCCATGACAGTTACACCGAAGGCAACGCATGCAAATGCGAGCAACAGAATCCTGATGGGGGCCTTGCGCATGTAAGGGTTGAACATGAACTCGTGGGCGAGGAGTTCTACAAGGCCAGTGTACATGAGAATACCAGCACTGATAGCATCGAAGATACCGTTTGTAAGTTTCTGGTCGTTGGCATTGTTGGGCTTGGCTCCTATGCCAGCCGCGATACCAATGGGAGTTGATAGAGCAAAGATGCTGCCGAGCAGGTAGGGCATCCACTGTCGGTTACTGGGCCAAGGAGCGACAGCCAGACGAGAACCGAGACCGAGACCCTCGAACATCTGATGGAAGACGAGGACAATCAAGAGAACGGTAAGCTCGTCAGAGGCGATCGTGCCGAGAGTAAGACCGATGAAGATGCTGTGGAACACGACACCGAATTCGAGAATGAAGATGGCGAGCAGCTGACCGGCAAGCCCGCCCTGAGCATCACCCTCCTTGTGCTCACGACCGTGAGCGAGGTGGCTGTCACCACCAGGGGCATAGCCAGACCCTCTACGGTCACCGTTCTCGATGTCAGGGTTGCTGGGCTGCTTCTTAGCGATAAAGTCCATAGCAGGATCGAGCTCGTGGTCAATCTCCATTGAGTGGTTGTGTTCCATGTCGTCGTTGCTGAGGCGAGCGGCGAGCATTTCGACAAAGAACATGACAATGACAGTCATGAGCGCGATAGCTTCGGCCCAATCGTAACCGCCCAATCTGTCCTCGAGACAGGGGTCGGTCAAGTTCTCGACAGCGGGAACGAGCAGGTGCATGAAAGCTGTCGCTATAATGACTCCAGTACCGATGAACTTGCAGATGAAGAAGGTCATCTTGGGTACCGGGATTGTCTTTTGGCGTGCCAGGAAAATGGGCAAGAGTGCGCCAATGGCTGAAGAGGCCATGATGATGAAGATGGAGCCAATTCGAAGACCTCGTCGGCCGAGATCGACGGCCTCGCCGCTGCAGGTATCAGCGTCGGCCATTCTGTCTAATGATGGATGTCGAGAAGGATGGAGGTAAGAATGCAGCGAGCAAGGTCTTATAGGAACCGTGAGACCCAGAAAAGAGGCGCGGGCCTGCAGGTAGTAGGTGATGTGAGGTTGTAGCCGGAAAATATGTCGTCAAATGCCAAGGCGCAAAGATGGGAAGCCAAGGATTATATAGATGCGTTGTTCCCTAAAAAGGAAGCGACCAAGGGTGATCGCGCTGTATGATTCGAACGGTGTCGAAACGCCAAGACGCGCGCTAATTGTTGAACTGTTTGCTTGGCCTGAAGCTGGTTGCAACTCTCGATATACTTGCGAGTTGTGATGGTTTTATAATACAGCGAGTGTTGCGTGACGTGCAAAATAACGAGAGAAGTCGAAATTCGCGACGAACCTTGATGGCGCAGACTCGACTTATAGAAAGTGGGCAAACCGACCTAGCTGACCAGGTTTAGCTTGTCAGAGCCTTAGAGGGTCCAGCGGACGGAAGCGAGTTGCCGAAGGCTGTAGACTAGATTTGTTCGCGCGTGGGATGGTTGATACTGAAGGGTGGGTTGTCTTGGACCAGGGGTCTCTTGGGACAATATATAGTCACTGCTAACGAGATGGGTGTGGTATCTCTTGGACATATGCTTATGATGCTTATGATGAGTGTTAAAGTTAAAGTAATAAGGTTAAGAAATAGAGAGTAGAAAAGCGAAACATCGTTGCATCGAGCGACGGAATTCGTGTATGCAAGGCTTCTAGACTCTGGTACTGAGGACTAGAAAACTCAGCACAACTGATAACCTTTTGCATTATACCCTCTTTGGCCCCAGGGCCGCTGGATGAACTCTAACACAAACCGTGTTTAAATCACTCGCTACTGTTCTCAATAATTTACTACAATGACCTATTCTCTGCAGTCTGTGACACTCGGAGAGTTAGTTATTCACGTCCCAGGAACATGGAACTCGGCAACTGCCACATTCCTTGGCATCACCGTCATGATCCACTGTGACCAAAGGTGTGACTTGAGATGTGATAGCACGTTCTGTCTCTGGTTGAATCTTGAGCCGTGGGAAAAGACGAACGTGGTGGTTTGAGGGTGGGAGTGGGTCAAATTAAGGTGAGGACCTTGATGGCCATGTTAGCCTCGTAAAACTCGGCTAGTACCGTTTCGGGCTGTAGAAGTTTCTAAGCTGTGGCTGGTGATTCCTCAGGAACATTTATCATAAGTAACACGACTGTGTTTGCTAGAGAAAAAGCATCATATCATAGTCAGCATTGCTGCAGCCTCTATATGGCTGTCCCTGATCATGAGTCACTTCGGGTTGCAATAAACGTCACACGAATGGAATCAATGTTAAAAAGAGCCTCAATCTCAAGATGTGGCGTCATTACCCGCTATCAATCAGCAAGCACCTCATTGGCTCGCTAACTCCAGCAGCCACACTTGACATTCCGGAGAGATCGCGGAGACCATCAAGGTTCTCATCCAGCGTGGGCATGATCCATGTCTAAGCCAAAAGCGCCCACGCAATAAAGAACGCCAAATGGTCTTGCAATCGGCTCTGTCGGCATCTCCAAACCGTTCAGCTGGACGATGAGTGTGTCTTGAGTTGGTTGCACTTATGCATAAACGGTTGTTTATACAAGGATGGCCACATGAGAGTCATCAAGAGCTGATGTTGGATGTTCCATGTCAGAGAAGACGTTGACAAATAAACAGTAGTAATGGGAGAAGTACTATGCCACCAATCGCCAATTCCAAATCTATGCCCCTCAGAAACAATGCCTCCAACCGGTAACGCCATTGAGATGCTCATTATAATACATCCAACCTAACCAATACATAACACTGACATATGCAGTGTCATAACCACCTTCCGGGTCGCTATTCCCGTTGATATACGCCATCGTTATTCCAGCTGCATCACACATATGAGCTACCACATAGACCATGCTGACATGATCCTACGGGCCGACTGCAGTAGTGGGCTATTGCCGCCGTCCTGCAGTAGTCAACGTAGATGACAGGGCTATGTTTAATATCCGATCATGATGAAAACTGTATTTCCAATCCGAGCGTTCGGAATGGCTTGTCAAGTTTATTCAAGTCGATCGAACTTCCGAGACTGAATAGGAGAGATTTGACCCGCCCTTCCCACAGCACTCCTATTCGCATGTTTTGGTCAAGTCGAGTCTTGAGTACGCCTGCATATCTCTCCTCTCCGGGCTTTTCAGGGTCTACCTCCTCTTTTGGGGGTGAAGGGAGAGGCGAAGGGAGGGGCGGTGGTGGTGGTGGCTTGACGATAACAGGTTCGGGATCATCCAGACGCCATTCCAATTTGGCTTGAAAGCTGCGCTCCTTGGGCCGCTTCACCTCTGGTTTATCATCCAGAACCACTTTGTCATCAATGACTGGCTCGTCCTCAAGAACAAGTCGGGTAAATGGTTTCCGCCAGAGCTCCATACCAATAGCCCAAGCGCTTTCGTAGCTGAACACATTGAACTCCATCCGCGTAGCAAGACTACAATGCCGGCCTGCCACCACGGCATAACTTGCACTGATGTTACCCATTAAGGGATTCAGTGTCAACGTCGCAGATAGAGGCGTTCCCTTGTGCGAGGGTAACGTTGCAAACCGGGTTCCCACGCTGATTCCACCCGACTTGTTCAGGGTGCCGTAGTAAATTTCTCCGCCGGTGCTGAATCGACCATAGATTCTTTCCCTGTCGGCGTTTCCATTGTCGTTTCCAGCCTGGTCCTCCGGCTTCTCGGCATCGCCGCCGAAATTATACACGCCCCGGAAGCCGAGCAGTCCTCCATCTGAGGACGCAAGTCCTTCGAGCGCATATTTCCCTACGTCATATTGCGCCAAGCCTAGTACAGTGCCGCCGTTCTTAAGGTGCTGGGCAGATACAGAACTGAGCTGGACCTGGAGCGCAGGAGACAGTCGTTTGACGAATAGAGCTTCGAGTAGCGATTGGGGTAGGTAGAGTCGACCATACAGGAGTGACGATTCTGGTTTGTCTTTCGGTGTCTGGAGGAGAGAATTGGTTCGGTGGGGGAGTTCGGTGAGAGGTCTGTACGAGCGCAAAAGCTCCGGTAGATTGATCGTCTCCGATTGCGGTGTCAAAAGCAGTCGAAGCGGGACTGATGAGAAGAGGTACGAGATGGATCCATCAACGATGCCGACCGAGCCAAGTTGGTAGGATGTCGCAAAGTTGGGGCTTGCGAGGGCAGATAGGGTGAGTCGTAGTCCACGAGGGGTCTCGAAATTCAGGAGAGCTGCAACACTCTTGTCAATACACGGA